AATTGGGCACTGTTAGCATTGCAGGGTAGCAAATTCTCACCTCCTATGTATCCATTGGTGTCGTTGGAATGGAATGAACAAGCTTTACAAATTTTGCTTGGTCAATACTTAATGTATTGCCTGAAAACCACAGAGGAATGTATATACTGTTACTTACATGGATGAAGACCTTCATTTCCCTCCCAGAGCTACAATTCCTTAGAATGATCGAATAATCAATCCCTCTTCACAGGAAAATCTGAGAATGGTTGCTCTCTGCAGAGGAAAGGAGTTTCCTAAGAGCTTTTAGCACCCTTAACAGACTAAAGCTCCCAGGATTCTTTGGGGGCAGCCATGACGGTTTAAAGTGGTCTCATAGTGCTTTCAGTGTGTGATGTGATTGGGCCTTGGATTGAGGAGACACGGGTTCAAATCCCCACCTGCCTATGGAGCTGAACACAAGGTATTGGGCCAGTCTCTCACCTGAAGGCTAACTTACAGGGAGGGATGTGGGTAGCGCTGTGGTCTAAACCACTGAGCCTCTTGGGCTTGACGATTGGAAGGTCGGCAGTTCGAATCCCCTCAACAGGGTGAGCTCCCGTTGCTCTGTCCCAGCTCCTGCCAACCTAGCAGTTCGAAAGCACACCAGTGCAAGTAGATAAATAGGTACCACTGTGGCGGGAAGGTAAACGGTGTTTCCGTGCGCTCTGGTTTCTGGTGTCCCGTTGTGCTGGAAGCAGTTTAGTCCTGCTGGCCACATGACCCGGAAAGCTGTTTCTGGAAAAACGCCGGCTCCCTCAGCCTGAAAAGCGAGATGAGCACCACAACCCCATAGTTGCCTTTGACTGGACATAACCGCCCAGGGGTCCTTTACCTTACAGGGCTATTGAAAAATGACTGTACATTGCTCTAAGCTCCTTGGAGGAAGAGTAAGGGGGTTTAATTTTTTAAAATAAATAAATAACATGTACTTTAAATGTCTGGAAGGAAGAAATGAACAGGAGCTTTTTTCCTGCATGGAGAAGGAGGGATGAGCAAACTCCACCTGTTGATGTCTGCCTCCTTGGCACTTGTTAAAGAGATGGGGGACTTGTGAAGAAAAATAGTTTCAAACACCCTTTAAGACTCTTAGCCCCTGTGGTGGTGTGACTGATGAGTTCTTCAGCTACCTTAGCATGCCTTCTTATTGTGCATTTTGATAGGGAGGGAGACAGTTTTGTTTCCATCTGACCCTGCTTATTTCTTGGAGGCACCAATGTACCCTGGCAATGGCGACTTTGGATGGGAAAGTTCTTCATCTCCTTTTTTTTCCGGGGCAGAAAGTCTGTTTAATATTTCAGCGCAGACTGCCGACTCGCTTGAGAGCTCGCAGGGGATTTTATTTCTGTGTCAAACCTGCCATCTGCCAGCCCCAAATCATACTTGTCTTCCACCACCTTGAAAAGGTTAGCATTTGTTAAAAGATTTTTTTTAATGCTCCCCACTAAAACCGGAAAAGGATCCAAGAGGCAATTTGAGTGGGAGGAGACCATCAAGAAGAAAGCCTTGAGAAATGCAGTTTGATACTATTTGATCTGTTTGATTTTTTTGTCCTCATTCATACTACTGGTTTCAAAGTGAGGGCACAGTTAGAGTTTTTGTGGTGATATGCCCCACAGCTATTTTTAGATTTATTAGGTCTTTTTATTGTACATGTAAGAGTCAAATTAGATGCCAGCAGCCATTTGTCTTCCCCAATCATTATAAAGTAGGGTGGAATAAGAACATAAGAAAAGTCTGCTGGATCAATTCCAGTTTCTTGTTCTCACATTGGCCAACGATATATTTTCTAGATTATACTGCAGCCTCTGCATGCTTAGTTGGTGGAAACCAGAAGGAGAGTCTTTTTTGCGGTGGCCCCCTTATTGCAGAACTACCTTCCTTAGGGCTCTTCCAGATACCATTTTATTGCACATGATGGTTGGCATCAGGGTGGTGGTTACATGGTTGGTATTGCTGGGTAGGGACAGTGGGAGTAGGATGTCCCTATTGTCATCAGAGAAATGTTGGGTGGTATGCAGCCTGCAGAGGAGGACCCAGAAGGAGAGGACGTGGGGCAGATTTGGGTGTGCTGTGGACCACACCCAGCCCACAGCCAAGCAGTCCCCCCCCCTGTTTTAACTGGGCCCACAACATAAACAGGGAGAATAAAGGAGAATAAATGTAAGGAGTGCATTTCTTCCATGTTTTCCTTTCACCTAATGAATAGATTCCACCCACTGCAGGAGCTAATTGTGCACAAAGGAGAGAGGAAGGATTTGTCATAGCCAATCAAGGAGAAGGCAATAGTCACCCAGAGGCTTTCCAGTTAATTAAACACTTCTGGTGGGGGGGGGGAGGGAGAGAAAGCCAATTAATTTGATAGGAACTGGTCTGGACTTCCCATGAAAGTAGCTGCTGTTTTATCACTGCATTTGCCAAGCCTCTAACCAATATTAATATCGTAAGCCATCTCACGGCTGTTCTCTTCAGCTAGAACAAAGAAACCCTGTTCTAGATTCTCGTCTGGGCTAGGAACGGAATGAAGAAAGGAGCAGTAGCCATAATGGGATGACATTCACAGAAGTAATTTCAAAGTGATCTAAGAACTGAGATGGCTTTTTTCCCAAAGAAAGGTAAATGCATGCTGTCAGAGCTGCCTCCAGGTCCCAGCTCACAGAGGACCAACGCTAGCCGGTAGTAATGTACAAAAGGCTTTATTGAAGTACAGTTTCCATTTTCAAGCCGCAGCGCGCAGCTCTACGTCTTAGAGGCTAGACCGGCGAAGCTCCGTCTGAGTCTCCACCCCCTGTACACCAGTTTAAGACTCTAACCTTACTCCACCTCTTCCGTCTCTCCTTTCTCCTCTGGGTCTTTCTGCCCCCCGGGGTCTCCTCCTTTCTGGACTCTTCTGACGCTGATGCTGACCCCCCTGACTCCTCCCCCTCCTTTCGGCGGGCTTTAGGACCTGGCTCCCTATCCGGGCTGCCAACTGCGCTGCCCTCCTGTACATTTGAACTTGGCGCGCGCGCGCGCCCAGCCTTCAACCTTCCTCTTGACCGTTTCCTCGCTCTCCGATGGAGGCGTGGCCAATCCTGACTCATCTCCTCCAGCTGGCGGTGAGCTGCCTGATCCCGATACCTGGGACTCCTCCCCCCTACTGCGCTCTGGTGGGGAAGCTGGTCCTGATTTCCAACTGCTGCTCTCTGAGTCCCCTCTGGCCCCTTCTTCCTGGGGTGTCCCCCTAGGCACCCCCTTGCTCTGACCATGGGAGCCCCTTTCTGTGAATCTTCCGATTCGCTGGAAAGACTCAGAGACCTCGGGCCGCTGTCATCGCTAACATTTCCTTCGGATTCCTCCCCCTCGCTCTCTATTTCCTCCCTTTCCTGTGCCTCTGCTCCTGAGCCCCTGACACATGCTTATTTCCAAACCGATGAGAAAAGGACAGAGCCAATTCTTGTTAACTGCAGTATCTCAAAACCAGAGGATGCTTGAAATTCATCCATGAATTAAAGTATTACAATGGACCCTACATGAAAACTCGAGTCCTCAGAAGAGCATAGTGACACACTTTCAAGTAAGTGTGTTTATTATTATTATTTGTTATTTATTGAATTTATCTACTGCCTTATATTCGTAGGTCTCAGGACGTTTCACTGGATGTAGGATTTCACTGAACGTAGACAGAAATTTCATTTGAAACCTTCCTTCTAGAAACAAAACTCAGCCATTTTCCAGCAATATTTTGAGTGCTAACCTTCACTGTTACTTAATTTCAAAAGCAATCCTTTTATTTCTTTAACTCCATCCCACACATCCTCAGATCTTCCCGTTAATATTCTTTTTGCACACAAGAAGATCCTTGCTGTAAGAGAGCAGAGACCCATCACAGTGGCCAATCAGATGCTTGAGAGAAGCCCGCAAGCAGTAGCAGAGTGCAACAGCCTTTTCGCCTCTCTTGTGATTCCAACAACTGGTAGCCAGAGGCAGAAACTATTTTAAATTAAGACTTCCTAGTACAATCCACTCCGATGGAACCAACTGGAACCAACTTGTTTCTCATTTTAAAAGCTGCTAATGCAAGAGAAGAAGAAAAAAGAAATCTAGATTTTTGCCCTCTAGCATTTGAAACCATGTTCACACACCACCTTTGTGAGGACTATCCAAAATGTCATAAAATAACCTTTCTGTTTCTCCAGAACTCATCACCAGGCCAGATGTTAAGCAAAGTAAAGGGGTGAATGGGTAATGACTCTTAGGCTCTATACTCACGACCTCAGGTTTGAGAAATCCATGACCCCCCCATATAGGTGGACTCCAGTTCCCAGCAGCCAGCATGACCAATGGTCAAGGATGATGGGAGTTGTAGTCCAGCAGAAGTTTTCCCACTCCTCTGTTATGTGTTACGAATGGGGATGCACATTTCCACTTGCACTGCAAGGTACATAGGAATGTGTAGGGTGTCCAGGTCCTGTGTCAATTGTAGCTCATGATTATGTTCAGTCAAGGCTGCTGCTAGTGCATGTATTGCATACATAGCTTTTCATCACTTGATGACTCAACCATTGCAGTCTCACCGCTGAATGTACGAGCACTCAATTTGAAAGCAGGGCATTGGAGTTGACATGTGGCACAAAATCTTGTCTGTGATGATTGATCCGTGATGGCTCATTCATACATAGAATCACAGAACTGTAGAGTTGGAAGGGAACCCAAGGATCATCAACCCCTTGTGATGCAGGAATCTTTTGCCTAACTTGGGGCTCAAATCCACAACTCTGAGATTAAGAGTCTCATGCTCTTGCTGCAGTCATCAAGTGATGAACAGTACGTATGTCTGAACCAGCCCTCTCAAAGCCCTTACAATGGGGAAACATGAAATACAGTTCTAAATGTGACACTGCGGCATAACGAAAGAATTTGCACAAACAGCAGTAGGGAAGGCTGTTCTGATAATCGAAAGAACCAAAAGCTGAATATATAAATAAACGGCTGGTCCTTACTTTTGGATCATGGATTCCAGACAGTTCTTCGTAGATTTTCTCTCCCACCATGACAGCAGCCAGATTAGCTGTGTACGTCGACAGACAAAATAAACAAAAAATGGCCCAGAGGTTCATGAGAAACCTTCCAGTCCAGCACTTGGGGGGTTTGATGGCAGCTGTTCTACCAAACAAGATGGCATAACAGACGTTCAAGGCAGAGGAGAAGGAGAAAACTTTATCCCTGTTTCTTCCCTTGGGGGTCATCCCAAAGGGGCTTTTCCATTCATACAGGGTGAGGAAGATTGCAGTGATATGCAGCGCCACAAAAATCCCCAACCACATGGTCCAGTGGAGCGGCCACATAAAAGCTCCAATAGGAGCCGCGGTGTCTTTGGTTCTCACCAGAATGCCCAAGCTGGTGGAAAAGAATGGGCTGGTGAAATCGATCACTTGGCTACGGGCTGTGTTGATGCTGAACGATGTCACAGCCATGTGGGCGGTCCCAGCCAGGAGGTCGCCTACAAGCCCTGTCCACTGACCGTTCTTCAGAGCCCCATATTTCCCATCGCCGACAATGTACAGGTCGAAATCGAAGTTCATATCCTCCGCTAATTTTTCCAGCAAATCTATAGTGTAGCCATAGCAGCATTTCTTCAGCTCTGTGGGCACCGTGTCGTTGCCCCCTTGGAGGCTTTCGAAGAGGGCATCCAGCACTGCTGAATCATTGGTCAAGGGGTCCAAGCAGAGCTGTCCCGCTGGACACAGTCCTTCATCATCCACAGCCCTTGTGAACACGAAGGGATGCTCAATGAGGGTCACCACCCTCAGGTGCAACCGGGTGGGATGCTGGTTGTGATTCTTGTGCCTCTGGGCCTGCTCTGGCCAGATCCCGTAATCCATTATGATCTTTCCTTCTTGCCAGCTCCCCAAACGAGTCCACATTGGGTTCCCTACCGGATCGTGCTGCAGATTCCAAATGAAAAAGTTGTTTTCCGAACTGATGATGGAGGAGCCTTTCACTTTAATGTGGCCACTGAGCCCGTGAAAAGTCGTATTGGCTAAAAACCTATGGGACAAATGCAAGATGTTACAAAGAGAGAATCAAGACAACAGATCTCCTACAGCAGAAATTTGCTTTGCCCTCTCCTTCCTATGCTTTTTCTTCAAAAGAGCCTAAAACTGTAATCCAAATGCTATCTACTCGGAAGTAAGCCCCCCTGAATGCAGTGGTAAATGGGATTAGGCTGAAGTTTAAGGCCAAATTCAGTTTTTTCTCTGGGATGATCCTTTTCCCATGATGGAAGAGTGGGGATGCTGTATTTGTGGTTTTCAGACTCAGAAAAAGAAGGCGAGACGTCAGGATTATTTAATCATGGGAGCATCTGTGTGGAACACTTGCATCTTATATTACATTATGGATCTGATAGAATATTGAGGGCATATCTGCACACCCAGCGGTGGAGGAAGCTTCTCTGGCACCTGGGGCGGCGTGTCCAGGGGCGGGGTGAACCGCTCATGGAGAGGGGGGGGACAGGGCACGCGGCACCCATTTCTGCCCCCTGGTTTGTTTGCTTGCCTGCCTCCTCCAGCTGGGAGTGCCTGCCTCCTTCCCACCCTCTCCCCTGCCTGCCTCCTCCAGCCAGGAGTATGGGGCAATGGCGCACCACCCACCTGCGACTCTCCCCCGACCCCCGGGTTGTCAAAACGAAGGGGGGAGGGCACAGGCAAAGTGGTGCAGCCCCCCCTTCCCCTGAAGGCTCAGGACATTTTAGGTGGACACTTATTTTTTTAAAAAAAGCTTAGTTGTGTGCCTAAAATGTAATGCGTGCAGTCAGTAGCTCATAAACACAAAGGCACCACATTTTGGTTCTTTTCATGAAGATTTCGAAACACTGGTGCTTCTCTCCCAAAGAGTCACAGTAGTCAACATTCGCTGATGGGTTAATTCAATTATTCTGCATTCATTAGTCTGATGACTTGGTCATTCTGTCTTTATCTTGCAAAGTTTAGTACAGAATGAGAAAATGAGTATGGGCAGCAAGTCAAATCACACAGTGCTTTAATTACCTAAATAGCATAGTTAAAACACCATAATTTACAGATGAGATGGGCCTTTCAAGTCCTAATGCTTTTTACCCTGTTACAAGGGTGATCAGCAGAAATTCTCTCATCACGAAGCCTCTAATGCATGTGATCCACTGCAAAAGCGCAGCCGCAAACTTATAAGAGAACTGTTGAGAGACCCCAGTTTTTGAACCACAGAGTTCTCCTGTACTAGCAAAGAGTGTGGGTTCCATCTGCAAAGTAGAATGCAATAGCTTTTAAAAAGAATTAGCCTTTAGAAACTTATAATGACCATAAATTCCATAAACAAGGAATAATACAATCATAAAATAGGAGAGTTGGAAGGGACCCCAAGGGTTATCTAGTCCAACCCTCTCCAATACAGGAATAAGAATATGGTCATAAATCAGGGATGGGGAATCCTTGGCCCTCCACATGTTTGGCCACCCAGTTTCCTGTTTCCCTGGCCATTGGTCATGTTAGCCAGGGCTGATGGGACCTGAAGTCCAATAACTTCTGGGGGCAGGGTACAGGCTTCCTACTGCTGTCCTAAAGTTACCCCAAATCCTCTATCATTACTGTTCTCCAGTCTTCCTGAAAAAACCAGCAACTCAATTTAGCTCCTATGACTGAACATACCAAGGTGATTAATCATAGGAGGTAAATGGAGTCCCACCCCCCAACTCTTCCAGGATGACTTAATGAGCCCAACAAAAGTGACTGTGCTTTTCAAAATATCCCTGGGTCAAAGGGGAGGTCAGGTTGAAACACTACTATTTTGAGGGTCATCACCTGCCACCATAATTTTTTCAAACCATTACAAATTTTATTCTAAAAGCAAGCTGTACACTTTTAAATGGAAGCTGTCACATCACAGAATTTAAAAGTCAACTTAAAAAAAAAATCATAGGTGGGGCAAATCATCTGGATAAATCCTTAGATATCATAGTGTCATAGTCAAATGGCTTAATTGCCGCAGCAACATCATGGTCCAAAAGCCTCGCTTGTATTTGAGAAAGCCAGACTTGTGAGAGCGGAGATGTTTTGTTACTTTATATAACCATTTGGAAAGCTTCTCTATAATAGGTGAGAATAGGCTGGCTCTTGGTTCTGTATGGCCACTGAGTCCTGTGATCACTGGAAATGGCCATAATGTGTTGACATTCCCTTGACGCCATCATAGTTGGGTCATGCCAGCTGTCACGTTATTTCTGCTCCTGGTAAGGAGAGTTCTCACATCAGCACTGGCATTTCTGGAAAGGAAGTGATGATGTGATGGCCATAGTCATTTCCACCAGACTCTCCATGATGTCATTATTGTGTGTTCTGTCTAGTACTCCACTGAGGTCAACATGAAAATCCAAGTAAAATTATTATACCGTCAATCATAAAAAGAATAGCCTACAGAGCACATGAAATAAAAAAAGAAGCTGTTTCACTGGAAATAAGGGCTAGATTGAATGGTTGGCAGAAGACCCAGGACTCCACCGAAAAGCTGCAAAGTGAGTGAGGACACAAGTTATAGTGGAGAAGTTGCAGTTGGGTTAACAGTGCTTTAACTCCCTCTCCCCATTACTTTCCTCCTACACCCCAGCTCAGGTTCCCAGGCCCAAGTTTCCTGAGGCTGAGAGAAAACTAGCTGGAGAAGTAGAGCTCCAGGGAAAAACAGGAGGCAGGGTCAGGGTTAAGCACCTCATGCTTCCACTCTTGCTTCTGTTCTCTAAGTCCCACCCTACTCAGTACCATCTGGACCTTTAGGCAAGTCCTGATTGAACCCTTAAATATGGAGTGTCAGCATCACATTCACAGAGCTTGCAAGGAAATTAATTGTGAGATAATCTTACTTTGATAAATACTGGCCCGAAGTGAGATTTTTTCTCTCCGTGTTCAAGCAATTGGTTGTACTTGGAATAAGCGCCAGTTCTGGTTGGATCATTGTAGCGGAAGCAACAGCTCTAGCTACAAGCTCCATTGCATCCTGTATGTAGTCTTCAAAAAAAGACTGTGTTGTTTTCCCGTGAGCTATGAGACCCAACGGCAAGCCTTCTGTCCTCAGCTCTTCCACGTTGTGCGAATCTCCAAGAATCCAGTGGAGATCAGGAGGCATCACCCCAAATTGGGTGGTAATTTCAAAAATCCTCCTTGTGCTTTCCATGTCGCAGCCAAACATCACCACCGTTGACGTTGTGTCCTTGATGTTCTCCAGATGAACTTGCAAGTAAGTCAAGAGGTTGCTGGTTGACGTGAGGTTCCCTGTGATATTTATAATGGATCCCAAATGAAACTTGGAGCTCTGCTGTGTGAGGAAGAGAAAATCTGTGATGTTCCACTCTTCCTGGCACACCATCAAGCTAAAGTTATACCAGTTGTTCAAGGCCAAGATGGAGAAAGTGACATCAGCGTCAAAACTTAATGAGCGTTCTAAGCTCAACTGCAGGTGAAGGGGATTCTGTAAAATAAGAAAATATTGGTTAGGGAAAGCCTTGACCACAAATATATTATACTTGGAAGGGGATTTTTTGTGGGGTGGGGAAGCAAATGTATTCAAAACTCTGTTGCCATAAATCATAGAATCCTTTAAAAGTATCTAATTCACCTTGGTGTTTCAATTTTTATTGACCTTGTAGCATATGTTCAATTTACATCTGCAATCAAGTATCCTGTTCCTGGCTGCTATTTGAAATAGCTCATCCCCTAAGAAAACTCCCACAGAATGAAAATCCATTCTACATATGCTTGCTTGGTTCTGGAGTCCTAGCTTCCAAAATGAGGCAAACCTATCTTCCCATGTTTTGACTCTTCATTAAAACATTCTATGTCCAGCCTTTCCTAGCTTTTCAGGAAGTCTCACAGGCTATGTGCCAATCAAATTCAACTTTTCTATCTAGCTTAACTATTTTGGGGTACTCTTCATATTTCTCATTTTGAGGGAGAGATGCAGAAATGTCCTATTTTCAAATTTATTTTTTAAAAAGCACACAATTAGGGTGCACCAAATTCAAGGCTTTATATGGTGTGGAGGCATCCAAATAATTTTGGTCGATGTAAGTGAGTGACTACCAAGCAGCATTATATATATGCCATTTTGTAAAAGGTAAAGGTAAAGGATCCCTGGATGGTTGAGTCCAGTCAAAGGTGACTATGGGATGGTGGTGCTCATCTCGCTTTCAGGCCAAGGGAGACAGCGTTTGTCCACAGACAGCTTTCCAGGTCATGTGGCCAGCATGACTAAACCGCTTCTGGTGCAACAGGACACCGTGATGGAAACCAGAGCGCATGGAAACACCATTTACCTTCCCGCCACAGTGGTACCTATTTATCTACTTGTACTTCATGTTTTCGAACAGCTAGGTTGGCATGTGCTGGAGCAGAGCAACAGGAGCTCACCCTGTCATGGGGATTCCAACTGCCGACCTTCTGATTGCCAAGCCCAAGAGGCTCAGTGGTTTAGACCACAGTGCCACCCACATCCCTATGCCATTTTGTATAACATGTTGATCACTAGAATCATGCAGCTTGGAAGCATCAAAAGGCTACTGAATGTAACCTCCCATTTGAGTGCAAGACCAGCCACACACTAAGCTCCAAATACTAAGAGGTGCAGCCTAGGCTACAAGGTTTTACAAGTCAAAGTGAGTAAAAGCAAGACATACCCCATACATTTTGTTTTGCCCAGTGCTTGTGGCCTTTACATTTTCAAAACACCAGAGACAGGTATACGGATTTGCAGTGTGGAAATCACATAAGAAAGCTTATTAACATGGGAAATGTTTGCAGCATGTTAATCCACAGCGAGATGAATATGCAGTAGCAAGAACAGATTTGTAATGAGCCAATGATGTAATTCCCAAAAGTGTGATAAGAAAAGCTCCAGTTCAGGATATTCAGTCTCCCCCCTCCCCTACTTCTCCTTTAAATATCCAAAACCTCTTTCACAGACCAGCTAATTAAATGGATAAGAGCAACACAATCAATATGCATCTTGTAATAGCAATAATTTACTTGGACTGTAGAATGAATAAAATGTGCTGATGGCTTGGAATTGCACAAATCCAGCAGCCACTGAAGAGGGCATGGCATACTCTCCAATGGTACTATTTCATAAATAGTTCAGTAATGTTTTCTCTCTATGCATAAAGTGGGTGGTGTGCACATGGGTTAATACTTAATTCTACTTAGGCTCCACACCAGAGTTTATTATTGATGCTGCTCAGGAATGGAAGTTTTGTGCAGCATCCACACACTATCATCATCTTCCAAACCTCGTTCCATATTATTTTTACAGTTTAATCTGGATTTACCATAGAAAACCCAGCACGTAAATAAAAATGCAGAAACAGTAAATGCAGATTGAAACGGGGGAGGTGGCAAGAGGAGAAATATGGGATAACATTTTGAAGAACACAGTATCACATGGTTCCTGCAAAAATTTCACAAGCATCAACAGTGCCAAGTCCACAATAAACCACAGTTTGGAAGTGCCTTTAGCAATCTAGAATATAGCTTCAAAACTGTTACAAAACAACAAACATGCAAACAACCCATTACATATTAGCAATGGGCTTCAGTCTTACAAATTTTGCTCTTGCTGATCCCAGGGTGAGATTTTAAACATCTTTACTAAAATGTAGCTTCTCTGCTAAAATCATGAACGGCCCCTCTCTTTTTCTGCTGTGTCTCTGTGTTGCAAGCATCCTCATTTACATATATGCACACAGGTACTCAGGTCTTAGTTCTCCTTTTGAGTGACAGACCTAAAACTTGTGATGCATTCACAACATTTAGTCACAAGTCACATTACCACACCCAGTGGAAAATTACTAGCTCTGTCCCTATACCCAAAACACACACACACAAATCAGTGCTTATAATACACTTAAACACAGCATTGTTATGTACATGAAATTTATAACTTCAGCACTGGGGACAAGGCTCAGATGCATCAGATGATCTCTAAATTCGCCTCACTGTGCTGTGATGCTGAGCCTGGTCCTATATAGAGATCTAGAAAGGCTGTATGCCATCTTAAGATAAGGGACCATTACAGGCAGGAAGTGAGAACCACAAGAGGAAGGAACAGCAAGCTGCAACTAGGATAGGTGAGTGTACAGTGGTACCTCGGGTTAAGAACTTAATTCGTTCCGGAGGTCCGTTCTTAACCTGAAACTGTTCTTAACCTGAAGCACCACTTTAGCTAATGGGGCCTCCCGCTGCAGCCGCATGATTTCTGTTCTCATCCTGACGTAAAGTTCTTAATTCGAGGTACTACTTCTGGGTTAGCGGAGTGTGTAACCTGAAGCGTCTGTAACCTGAGGTACCACTGTATATGTTTGTTCAAAGTGGTATCTCAGTGCTTAAAAGGTATGGTGTGAATGTGGCCTAGGACTGAGGAGTCCTGGGTTTGAATCCCACTTTGTCATGAAGTTGACTACATGATGTTAGGCCAGTCTCTTGGCTGAAGCTCCGTTACAGGGCTATCGTGTGAGAGAGAAATGGCCATTGTACATTGCTCTGAGCTCATTAGGGGTTTCTTTTTGTTTTGTTCCCCCCTGGCATTAGCTGAATCATATGAAGATGGTCCCATTTAGTCCTCTTAGTCACTTTACAAAATGCATATTGGAGCACAATTCCAATATTCCGTTTATGTGCTTGGGGACCTGGCTCAGGAAATGTAAGCCTGCTGCAACTGCAGTTTTGGCCCACAAGTCTCTGGAGTTCTTCCACTTATATTAATAGGCGTTGGATCAAACTCATTACTCTGATTTACTGATCATGTTAAGCCTGCATGATGTATAGTGCTATTTCGTTTCTTAGATGGGAGTACTTCTAGAACTTATTTGTTCCTTTTTTTGATGGCTTCAGGTTTCTCTACACCACTGAAGTAAGAACTGTTATTTCATTTAACATGCAAAGGCTTGTAGCTGTGCCTTGACCTCCTTGTGCAGGAATGAGTCCCACAATTATATTGTCTTCACATGATGCAGCATGAGCTATCTTCATTTGTAAAACTTAATTATTTTTATACCTTTAAGCTGTTGTAATCTCTCCCAGGACCTTATGCCAGAGGGTGGGCAAGGAATTGAACAACAGCAAATTCTTTTCTGACCCACTATTTAATTCAGAAGGAGCCATGTTGAAATTGCCCAAACTATTTGATCAAAACCACCCACATTTGGGTGGCCTCTCTCATTTGGAAAAAAGATTTCTCCCCAGGATGTGTGAAATTTTCTGCCTTATTTAGACAAAATTTTCCACTGTCCCTCCCTCTGTATCCTTCATAGTGTTCAATATTCATGTGGCATGGCTCAGATACCTTCACGTGCGCAGGGGTGTGGTCAGCCCTGCGTGGTTGGGGGGGGGATTCCCAGCTGTGTCACTGCCCAAGCCGATTGCTCTGGGGGTGTGGCCTGCTTGATTTAAGCAGGACACAGCGGGAATCTCACCAGCTGCTCTGGCTTGGCGGTTAGGAATTGGAATATTGCTGGACAAGAGAGGAGGGGAGGAAGCACCATCACCTCCCCTGCACACTGAAGGGTATTCCATTAAAGGATTCCGGGGGCGTGGCCCTGCCCAAAGCCTGGGGAGGATAGGGCCTAAGACACGACCCCTGTCAGTGGCCCCGGGGGAGCTCCTACTGGTGGTTAACCCTTCCCGGACTCCGTGCAGATGGGCAGGAGTCAGATATAGTTGGTTAGGTCCAATGTCTAAGCCAATACCTCTCACAATCTGTAACCAATAAAAGTTGTGGCATTTTTTAGCCCATTAACCTAAAATACTGTTGTCAAGTGTCTTATTCAACCTCGTAGGGGTGGTGGTGGTTTGGGACCTTGCCAGGCAACTCCTGCTGACAGACATGCACTACTGTATCTCTAAAATAAGAAAGCAGCAATGAAACTCTTTGCCTAAGAGATCATGGCCCAATGCAGACAAATGTATGGATGAACAGCAGCAAGGAAGGGAAGAATGGTTCAGCGAGATCCATTCCCACCTGCCTATTTTTGGAGCTGCTCCATACATGCACCTGTATGGAAGCTGAATATGGAACTAAGTTTCTCTGTGTATTTAGCAAGCTAGATTTCAAGTCAACTTCTGAAATGTTCATGAAGGGAGCTTCAGAAATGGAAGCAAATTTAGACAGTCTTAAAGATCCCTTGCTCCTTGCAGCAAAAGCAGCTTGGCAACCAGCCGAGCATCACAAATATGAAGACATCCAACTATTGATTTTAAAAAGCAGAAAAATGTTAACCACCCTCTCTTTTGATTAATTTAAAGGTTCTCTGAATTTTGTCTTTGGACCAGATTGTGGACCACGGCTCGCAGGGTTGCTGAGCATTTTGAAAGGCTACACACCAGCACCCCAACTTAGCACATATGAATATTTCAAGCTTTCGTACAAGGTCAGAGAGGCTCTAAACAAAAACCAAAAAAAGCAAAATTATGAAGAGTCAG